TAAGTCAAACAGCATTTTGTTCTCAGTGCTCAGTGCTGAGTATTCGTGGAGACAGAGGCATGCATGCACATGCACACTGTCTCTCTGCTCTTTCACACAGAATTTACATCTGCTTCTGCTTGGGCTTTATTCTCTTCCAGATCGTGGCTCTCTGCTCTTTCCACATAGAGGAAGCCTTGCAATAACAAATAAGTATGTCCAGTGCCCTAACTGTAATGGAAGTATGCTTAGAGGAAATTGATAGTGTTGCCAACTCTCATTATTTTCCTATGAATCTTGTGATATTTGCTATTTTTCTTAATGTCCTAGCTGTTGAAATCACAAGGATAAATGTGAATCTGAGCTTCCATGAAAACAAGTGTCTCGATTTCTCAAACATGAAGTAAAACTTGAAAATATTAACTGAATATACCCAAGACAGATAAAGCAACCAAAGGTAAACCAAAAATAAATGAAAGATAAGTGAGGTGTTTAATATATACAAAATAATTTTAATATAATTTCTTAATTTCAACTCAATATTGAATACTTGTATTGACAAGTGCAGCAAATTGGCTAATTCCTCAGATAAATGCTGTGTGCTACACAGTACAGAACAAGGGCAAGAAGAGGGAGGAATTCTTCCACTTTGGACATGAATCAGATTTCCAGGAAAGTAGTTTTGGCCTGGAGTTGGTGTAGTAGCACTAATCACAGCTTCATTGCCAAATCCACCTTTGCTAACTATGCCTTGCTCTACCACTCTCCCAAGGATTGCTATGGTTCAAGGTCTGGACCTTGAGCTGTTCAAAAAGCATTCACTATTTTATTTTATTTTTAATTTTGTCTATGGATCCTACAAGTACAGGATGTGGTCCTTCAAAAAGACCCAAAATTTTCTCTCTGTGCAAGTAAAAATTAGTTTTTATTTTTAATGGTTATGGCAAAATTGTACCTGATCTGTGAGCTAGTATGTAATGGAGAATCCCCAGCAATACAGAGACCTGTTCACAAAGTCTATCATCAACATAGGATCAGGTATTCTGAGAGGATATTGATTTTTCCATATAAAATTATTTTTTTAAACTAATTAACAATATACCTAAAATAAATGAGGTTTATGTAACCCATCAAGCTTGCAGTTTAATCCTCAAAAGGAGTATAGACGCTAAAGACTGGAATGACTGATATTTAGGAAAACAGAGAAGCACTGGTTTAGAAGGAATTTTTAATGGATTTTGTAAACTAAGAAAAATGGAATGATGTGCTTAGAATACAGTGACTCACAGGCCTGCAGTCACAATCCCAGTCCCTCTCCCAGTATGCCAGCATCCCTCCCTTTGCATCAGAGGTGCAGGAAGCCAGTCTGGCCCTCAGCTTCTCAGTAGCATTAACATGACAGAATTTACTCTATCTCACACAACCTCGGATCTAGTGGCAGACGGGTCATGCTTCCTCCACTCTATTTCAGGAAATCTTATTAGTCTACAATACATAGTTCTTCATGCAAATTCAATGAGTACAGAGAAGGAGAAAAACTAACACAAAATATCTTACCAGATGGAGAAAATTGAAACATTACCCTTGTTTCCTTGCCAGCACAGATCCATTCTGACAGGTTGGAAATGATTTATGGTTGGGAGTGGGGGGGGCATGGAGGAAGAGAGGATGGGGAGAAGGAAACATACTTACACTAGCAGAGATATTAATTGCTGTACAATGTTAAAATCTTTGCATTGTTTTGCATGCATGCAATTAGTTCCAAGAATTACATATGCAGCAATGTTTGCACGCTGATCTCCGCATGAGACAAATAAACCTCGAGTATATGATGCTAGAAATTGCTTTCAAACCACTGTAGAAGACATTTTGGTAAAGAAATTATACAATATGGCAACTCAAAAGCTGCAGTCAAGGAAACAAATTACCTTTGAATATATGAATAGGTAAATACTTCAGCATGTCCAAGATTAATACTAATCATTACTATTTTAATATATAAAACGTTATGGATATTGCTACACAGCAGTGATCAGGCAGATATCTAGTCTTTGTAAATTAAACTCAGATATTTTTCTGCATCTAATTGATTTTTACATTACATTAGGCAGCCAAGGCTGCAACCTTCCATGACATAGTATCTAAATAAACATTTATTAAAATATTTTAATTAGAATAAGAGGGAAAATACAGTTTCCAATTATGTTTTCAGAAGGAAAAAAATCAGACCTATTAAGAATTAATGTAAACATAAGTGTAATGTAACATTTAAATGCAATAATTATGCCATATGATTTATACAATGTGAGTTATTTCTAATTCCTAAACTTTTAAAAAAGGACTACTTATACTAATGCATTTATTGCCTCTTGCATCTTATGGCATTGATTCAAAAAATAATAAGGGACACTGGAAAGTGAATAGTGATCTTACAAACTGAGGCATATCTGTGTTGAGCAAAATGTATCTTATAGATGCAGAAGACTTAATGGTCATTAATAACATTGCTCTGCTAGAGCAGGAGCACCTCCTGCTCTAAAATGGGAGGTGTTTTTTCTGGTCTGGCCGTAAATGGCACAAGTGACTGGGCTCCTGCCGTTTCCCTTGGAACTCTAGGCAGACAGAAAGACTTATTCCCAGGGGATTTGGATGAGATTGTTAACTGTCTCCAAATTACTTATAATTTTTTGCTATATAGATGCACACACATATGTGCCCTTATATTTTGGCTTCCTCTATTCTATTTTATGGAACAGTGATTTTCAGATTCTGACATGATTTAGCACAGGGAGATGGAGTCAGGCACAGTACACCAGTGTAATCTATAGCTTAAAGTACTGATAAGTTGTCACACCTTATTGGAAACATACATTTCTTGATAGTATAGTTCCACACCACCAGATATATACACATGAAGGGGAATCAGTTTATACTTCACAAACCAGCCAAAATTTGGTGTGGGAGTGAGGGCAGCATCTTCTTTGCTTCAGGCAGAAACTGGCAATCACATGACTGTCACTGCAGGGAAGCAACAAGGGAGTCTTCTATGCCTATTAGTTTAAGACATTTTCAATCACCAAGAGTTGCTAGAAGAGTTTCTGTCTGTCATATAAAAATTGGCTCACTGTTCTTGACATTGATATAAACTTATAGAGACACTTAAGATGCTACAAAAGTGACTGGTTAGGAAGATGGGGTTCCTGCATTTTTTACAGCAGTAATTAAATCCTGGGCCATGGAAAGAACCTTTGAAATGGGCATTTCAGTAAAAAAATGTATGCAGGTCTGTGTCATGCAAACAGACATAGAGGCTCCCAAGGAAAACAGGCTGATGCAGCCATATAACCTGTCTGTGTTTCCCTTGATGATTTTTGACCAGTTTGAAGTGAGTTTCAAAGTACTGGGATTGGTAAAATGAAAGCAGGAGTGTGCCATTTCTGTCAAACAAGCAAATACAGCACCTAAAACAGCAGTTCACTCACTTTGGGTTGTACCCTTTAACAATACATATACTAATTTCTTAATGCAGTATTTGAATATAGACACCTTTATCAGACAAAATTCAGACATTTTACTCAATTGCTTATTATTTAAAAATTGTTCTTGTGAACCTTGCTGCCTTCATTTTCCAGAAATTTGTCTTTTAAGAGACTAGAGTTGTTGCAAGAGATCTTCAAGAAAGATGTTATTTTTGTGTCCTTCATTGCAAAAGTATTCACAGAGAAGGAAAAAAGCTAGAACCCAGTCTAGACCTTCCAGAACTGGATAAGGAGAGTAGGAAAGAACTCATTGTCAGACAAATAAGGAGATAATGTGAACACTTTCCCTTAATAAAAAGAGTGCCTTTATCTCCTTCTTTAGCTCCAAGAGGCTAGTTGCTATCATTTCTCGTAGCTTCCATTCCCTTCCTTTTCCATCAAGTGTGTAAACTACCAATCATATAAGTCAAATGTCTAATCTTCCCCATTCATATCCTCTCATAGACTAGAAGACTGCTACCCTGCTGGCACTCTTCCATTCCAGCTCTGGTTTCAAGCACTGCACAGTTATTACATAAAGCAGAAAGCTTGAACACATCACATCCATCCTCTCTGCCACTCATTTCAAGGGTTTACTCAAAAATCTCCATGGAATCTACACTCACTTCTAGTTTACACCTTACTACCATCTTCCAATTACTGTCCTCTTTCTTCTCTCCTAAATAATAACAATAGAAATAATAACAACCACCACCACAAATCACTATGCCTTCTTTAAGGCAAATATTTCACAATACAACATGGTTACAGTTAGTAAATTCATACTTAGTTTCCTAAATTAGTAAGCACTTAGATTTTAAATATGAAATGCTCAGCTGTTACAGAGAACATTTAACAGCTTTAGTCACTTGTTTATTAAATCTTAGTTTTGGCTCTCTTTCATGTATTTCACTTACACAAATACCATAACTTACTCAGCACAGAATGCCTCTAATATCTCCATACCACTCAGTAACAGAATTCCTATGTTGCCTATAATCCTACAAATGCATTCACAGGAGGAGAAGGTAGGATTCATGCACTATCATCCAGCATAAAAAGAAAAAAAATTGACAATTCTGAAGTACTTTTTAATCATAATTTATTTTAATTAACATTTGCTATTTCACAAATGTTTTACTGTAAGCACATATTCTCAGTGTTCTATGCTTAATCTATGACTAAACTCTGTTTGACAATTTTTTTAATGCTCTACATCTGAGGCATCAGAGACCTTGCAGATTTTAAAGATTAAAACACTGCTGGGGTTCAGAGATATGAATATCCATTTCCCTGAGTTAGCACTGATGGACTTGAACTTACCTTCTTTGACAGAACTTGCAGTATGTGGCAATTTTGCATGCTTATTTTTAAGGCAGTTACAGTATAAGAGATTCATTTTGGCAGTCATGTTATCTTGTTTTACCACAGTGGTAACAAATACTGTGAATTTCCAGCAAGAAAATCCCTCAAAGTTTTCAGGATTGCTATCTTCATACTTACCACAGTACTTGTAAGTATTGCTGCCCTAGATGAAGATTTGTGAGCCATTGTGTTTAGCAGCTCCCTTCCAAGTGAGTTATAGATCTCCTACAAAACAGTCATGGAGAAATAAAAGCTCAGAAATAATACACTGCATAGTGGCATTTTTGGCAGTCATGGAATTCTCAGAACTGTACAATTTACCCAGTGATTGCACTGTCATTATAATAGGTAATCATTAGATTTATCTCTTATATCATTTGTAACATCTTACAGTATTATATGTGCATTTATGTAGCCTCATTACTGCCAGGAGTCCTCTTTAACTGAGATGATAAGTAAATAAAGTAGAAATTACACACCAACAGGAACCTGGAATATGTTGTTTTACTGTATGTCTGAGCTCCCTTTAGCAATGCTAATCTGTGCAGCAGTTACCATTATTTCTACCTCAGTGAGCACTTCCTAATTGCTGTGTTATTGCTTGTGAAGAAAATATATTATTAAAGTCCACAACTTATGACTTGTTGCACATCTATATATGGAAGGAAAAAACCTTCTCATTTCATCAGCCCTTAATAGGTTTTGAACAGGATGATCAGCTGAGGCTGTTTTTCTCTTGCAGATCTGTTCATTACCGTTTCATAATGTCAGTGGCTCCTTCTAACAGTCAAGATGCATCCATAATTTATTCAGAAACCTGAAAATATTACAAAACCAAATCTACTTAATTCTCTATGAATCAGCTCAGGCCTGTTTTGGTAGCAATTTGTAATGAACAACAATTGTAAGCCCAAAGGAATCAGTATTCCTTTTTAGTTGTTAATGTTTTATACCCAATTATTGGTCCACTGCCAGATAATGATCCATAGAGCATTAGAAATGTGTATTAATATTATCTTTACAAGTGCAATAATACTCAGTGGAGGATAAAGTTTTGATGGACTCCTCTTGTGTGCTAGTTAAAGCTCTGCATTGTCTGGGAAAAAAGTCAGCATTAGCACTTTGTTCTGATGGGACTGCTAAGGACAGGGTGACCTTCAAAATTTGGCAATATAATCAAAATAGTAAACAGCAGCCACTGAAATTAACACAGAAAATAACTTCAGCAATTTTTCTTGTTCAGAACTACTGAGATGTCACAGCTATGCAGAAAGCAGACTTAATTAAAATATTTTAGGAAAAAACAAAATACTCTGCATTCTTCCAATTAAAAGTAAGCATGATGAGACTTACATCTTTCCATGAGCAAGCCAACACTCAAGAATTCCTGAAAAGATGATAAGCCTTCATCCAATGGCCATACTGCAGTATTTTTCTCTCTTGAATACTGAGTATTACTTACTTCTACAGGATGTCTGGGGTAAATCATATGAATCATTTTAAGAACTACATTCCACAATTCTACTTGGGATAATACTGTGCACTTATCCTAAGAATAAATATTTTCCATTTCTAAGTTGTCTTAATTCATAGCAAAGATGTGGCTGCATACAGAAAATAAAAAAGCCAAACACAACTCCTGTAACTTAAAGAGGCTTCTGCACAAACCAGGAAATTTTGGAAAGTAAGAAGAAGAAAGTCAAATGAACATTTCAAACAGACTCTGCCACGTTGATGTGTTAATGATGGTAGGGCTTCAGTACACTGAGAAACTGTTTACAAGTATATTATTATGTCCTTCCCAAGTAGCTGGTATCACAACACTCTTGGAGTTGAGTGGATGGGATTTTTGGTTTTTACTGTTAAGATCCCAGAGAACTGCAAAAACTAAGAAAGCCATTTAATAGTTAAGATTCCACTTAAAGCCCTCTTTGATTTTTTCACAAATACATTGCCTGTTTCTCTTCTCACCTGGAATGAACAAGCAATAGAGAGAACAGGCCGATATATCTGTCAGCACTAGAGACCAGCCACAAGATTTCCACAGTACTGAAAGATCTAGGGGACCTTTAATAGGATCTCTCTAAAACACCTGGGAAGCTAATTGTCATTGTCTGTGAAGAGCATTAGAATCCTGGCTGTTTTTAAAAACTCCATTAGGTGCCTCTACATCTTCAGGAGCTTAAATATCTAGTAAAATTTTCCATAAGGCCCTCAGCAGGTGGCCTCAACAGCCTCATATGTTCCTTGAAACAGGCAAAGAGAGATAAATAATGGTGTGTTTTGATCAGAGCAGTAGCAAATATTCAGTGTCTTAAATATTCTTTTTCCTTTTACATGGAGAAGTTCACGACAGAGACAGATATTTCTTTGATGCAAAGCTATTTATTTTCAAAAATATATATGTCCTGTTCCCCTGAACACAGTGGGAAAACAGCAGATGCTCAGTGCAGTGTGTGTTGCTTTTCTCTAGCCAGTGCTGAAGGGCTCCCTCCTACCTTTCATATTGTTTTCATTTCCTGCCCATCCTCCCTCTGCCATACTGGCTCTGTCTGCTCTTTCTTTCATCTGTGGCACTCAAATATTCTCGTCCTCCTCCTCCACAAGGATGCATTTTCCAGTTTCTGGTTTCGTATCTGTTGCACAATGGAAGTCCTTTCTTCACATAGATCAGCTCCTGGCCTAGTCTAGCCCTAGCTTATATTTTTAGAGGTCTATGGCTTCTGATGTTTATCCTAAATGTATGGCAGCTCTCAGATACAGCAGCTTTAATCAACTCTCAGTATGTAATATACTGAATGGGTAACCTTAACATAAAGCTATAAATTGTGTTACTTTTTAAAGATTCTGTCAACATCTGAACAGCTCTGAACCCAATACAGTAAAGATTTCACTATTGTGTTCACATTTCAAGGTGTTTTAACAAAACACTTCTAATTAAAACCTCGTGTATTAGCATTTTATACAACTTGGGACTCATGAGAACAAATTTTACTCTGAATTGCAAAACCAAGTTCCTTGCTACTTTAGTTCCTCACATTAACTTTGTATCCTCATTTAAAGATATTCTACATCAGGTAAAGAAATTGTTAAGAAGAAAAGTATGTCAACAGGGAGATTCAAGTGTATGATGGGAAGGTGCAGCTCACTGCCAAGCTCTCCCTATAAGAAATATGTAAATGCAAAGCACAAACCCAGCCTGGAATGCATTTACCAACATCGGTAACACATGGAGTGGCATAGCTGAGTCTGCACTAGCACTGCCAGTAGCACACACAATGAGCTGTTAACACAGACCATGGGCATTTCTCCTAGGAATGGGTTCACACTTAGTCCTGTCACAGATAGCTTCAGTGGAAATCATGGGAACCTCCTTCCTGCACATCAAATACTGCAATTAGTAAAAGCACCAGGCACTAAAAACGTAAATAAAACTCTTTTTTATCTGAGGCAAAAGTCAAACCTTGTTACTATAATACCCAAATGGATATAATATCCAAATAGAAATAATTAGTCCTTGGCTTTTCAAGTGTAAAACCAAATAGGATACTTTACATGCAATTAAAATTATACCACATACTGATTGTTGTTAAAATTTCAGGCTGTAACCACCAGTTCCTAACAGAATATTGGTGCTTGATACTGCACTCAAATATTTTATAAATAATATCTGAGAATATAATAAGATTCCTTCATCCTTTGGAAAGTTCTTCAACAGGCAAAAAGCACCTCTCCTAGGTAGAGAGTGCTCTTGCTATGCCACTATGATTTAGCATCATGAAGCATCTTAAAAATATCCAGTATCTTTTTAACAAGCTATGGTCCCTTCATTCACTTACTCTCATTTTGAAGGCATGTGAATATGACTGTTTTCAACAAGGAAACAACACCAACACCACCTACCATAACTCTTCTTGCTTTAGAGTGTCCTTATCAAAAGTAATGCAGAAAGCCCCCTGGCATTAATTGTTGTTACGCTTTTTTGAGGGCTGATCTGAAGATCAGAGAGAAACCTCTAAAGATGAAGAAGCCTTTTGTTTGATGATGTTTGGACTCAGCATGACAGCTACTTTTTTGTACGTCCTGCTTTTATTCTGAATGCAAGATAACAACAAAACTGCAGTTAGACCTGGATAATAAGTGAAAAATGCAGGGAGTTGAAACACCACACTTCTCACTAGTGATAGTCTGCCTAGCAAAATGAATCATGAACTGTAGTTAAATACTACTTCAGCTTAACTCCCCACTAGTTATCAAGTCATTTCATGAGGATATTTTCAAGAGGGAAAGTCAAATTGACAGCTTTATATGATGAAGACACATCCAGCAGGAAGAGATAACAAAGTTTATTCTTTCAAGTTGGCTTTCCCGCCCCCTGCCGCTTCTGGAACCTCTTGGTAATTAAAATATTCATTGTCAATCAGGTGACAAGACATGTGAGCTTGATTTTGTCATGGATTGCTTTGGTTTTGAAACAAGAACAACAATGACTACATGGATGTTCGCACTGCCTTTTCTGTTATCCTTCCTGGGTATTTTCCTGTCCATGCGAGTGGTGGGGACAGAAACAGAAAAAAGGGAATAAGCAAAAAGAAAGCTGTCAGAAAAAGAATTTCCTTGAACAGGAAATAAGAAAATTACTTAAAAATCAATAGTTTGTGAATAGAACTAAAATATGTAAAGGTCCTGGAGACAAGACATAGAAGTAAAAGACAAAGGGTGATGAAGCAGTATATCAAAAGCAGTCAGGCCTGCAGCATGTTTGACACTGAATGAATAGATCAAATTCTCTAGTGCTGGAAATAACCAGGGAACAATGGAATAACCAGGAGTCAATCATGGCCAAAATCTTTTCCCTGGTCATCAGCTACTAAAAATCCAACAAGCACTAGGGAATTCCATCAAATGAACATTGCGTTTCCTATATTCACACACAACTTGGGGACCAAAGGGTTGCCACCATAAAAGAAACAAAATCATTTTTCCTAGCAGTGCAATGAAATTGTCTGTTCAGAATCCACAACATTTTTAAAGAAAACCAAAAGCAAACAAATATACAATGCTATATTAAGACAGGGAAAGAATTAAGAACCTAGTTTAAAGGCACCCTTCCCATCCTTAATTTCTAGTTCTAGTTCAGTAATCAGAGCTCCAAAACAGTAAAGCAAAAGCAAAAATCAAAAAAATGAAAATAAAATAATTTAAAAAATTAAAAAGACATTACC